GTGTAGATATTTTTCATTCATTTTCTTACGGTTTCTCCAAGATGATAATAAGTATAGGTTTCACCTTCTGAAGAATGTACAACTTAAGGTGTATATCATTTACTTATTGATTCTCCAAGATGATAACAAGTATAGGTTTCGCCTTATGAAAAATGAATACCTTAAGGTGTATATTATAGTACTAAGTTGGTAAGGAGTTTCATTAAATCTAGTTGTTTCAAACTCATTTTTTTTTTCTCTAAACTATAGTAAGTAAAGGTTTGAGTTTTGGAAGAATATTTGAGCATTTTCTAGTCTCTTGCATTCATTTGAGCATATTTGAACAAGTTAAGATTTGACATTAGATTTGTCAAGCTGATTTTCATTGGCATTAAATATGTGCTTATTTTGCCAAATTTGCTTTCAAAATCTCACAATGTGCTTAATTTGAAGTCAAAGTTTTTGAAGCCATACAAAACTATATACATTCAAGAATAAAATATTGTGATTTTTAGCATTCATTTCAGTCTAGTTTTGTCTTATGATTTGTAAGTGATATTCTTAATCAAATTAATAATATATAATTAGAAGACAAAAGAATTGAAAAATAACATGAACTTGTTCAACAATATCGCATTTTTTAAGAACGTATCAATGACTTGTTAATTGTGGCCATGGTGAGTTGAGATTGATTAAGATCTTCAATGCCATGAGCCAAATAGTACCTTCGTAATGCAAGCATCAAAAGAGAGCAATATTTTTGGTCAATTATTTGATGGAGTACAGATTGCAAGTTCTTTTGATCTGCGATAACAATTAAATGCAACGGCAAAAAAATCCCAATGACCAGCAGAAAAATCAATTGCAGGGAAATAATCATGAAGGCCAAAATTTTCACGGCGGCTAGAATTTTGACGGGTAACCAATCATCGTCAAAAAAAATTCTTATTGCTAGCTGGCACAAAAAAACCCTAATCAACAAGCAAAAAAAATCATATGCGTCATGTTTGTTAAATTCTTTCTAGAAGAATGAGCATCCACATGTGAATATATGTCATTTTAGTTGTTTTATTTTTCTCTTCATCTTTGCACATGTATTAATGATGAGATTATATTTCTTCATAAGTACAAACCTTGTTGGTACTTAATTCTATTTAGTGTAGATTGCACTTACATATTTTGATTTTTTTCTCTGAATTTTTATAAGTACAAGTTTTACCTTCTAAACAATGAACATCTTTTCACATATATCATTTTGCTTAATAGGTTTATTCTTCTCTTCATGTTTGGCCGCTTGAACATATACACATGACATGATCATCTTTCTTTGTAAAAATAAACTTTATTGGTAAAAATTTCATTGTGTAGGTTTTCCACGCTCATATTCTTATTATTTCTCCAAAGTGTATTTAGTATATGTTTCCTTCTCTAAAGAAAAGACACCTTATAATGAATATCATAATCCTCAACTAGCTTACTTTCTTCTTTATGTTGATCGTTTGATCATGTACATGTAATAAAAAGATTTATTTCAAAGATGAAGAGAAAAATAAGTTGATTAGAAAAATGATATTGAATCCAAAGATGTTCATTTTTCAAAAGATTAAATTCTTATCACAATGCAAAAAATTAATAAAAAAAATGATAATGAAAGAACTATAACCAACAAAATTCCTTATCAATAAGATTTGTGCTTACTAAAAATACTAACTATGCGTCCAGTGATCTTGTAATTGATTTTCATAATCATAGAGAGTACATAAATGATGAAAAAAAAATCCCACATCTCTTGAGCTTACTAACTACTTACTATTAGTATTGTATATTGATTCATTGTGATGAACAAACAATCGCTCATCACAATGTTATAAATGTTTTGTTGAATGATGAATAAATCATCAATCAAGAGAGCATTTACAACTTTGTTATGAGTGATTGTTTGCCTGTCACGATGAAACAATAAATTTGAAAATGATTGATTAAAAGTAAAGAATGAACTTGACAGATGTACATTTTCTTCTCATCTTTCATTTCCTTTTGAAGATTTTTTCCAAGGTCGATATGATGAATAAATCATCAATCAAGAGAGCATTTACAACTTTGTTATGAGTGATTGTTTGCCTGTCACGATGAAACAATAAACTTGAAAATGACTGATTAAAAGTAAAGAATGAACTTGACAGATGTACATTTTCTTCTCATCATTCATTTCCTTTTGAAGATTTTTTCCAAGTTCGATATGAATGTTGCTTGTTATGAATATTATCTTAAACAACATTATGTATTGCACTAAATAAATTTGACAGGGCTTCAAACTTCTCTGGGCAAGATTGAGTGGAAGATGGCTAGTTTGAAATAGTAGTGATGTTGCTGCGTGTAACTCATCAAGATTTAAATGCGATCACACTTAATGTGGCCTTGCATGTTGCTAATGCTATGATTGCAATAAACACCAGGTCTAGTTTTATCATCATCAAAGATGACAAATGGAACATACGTAGGTGATGAATTTGTACCGCTTTCTATTTGCATTCAAATTTTGTCATCAACTTGTAGTTCAGAATTATAGATTTGATTGTGATCTTATTTACTTGCATAATTGACAAAATCCACCAAAAATATTTGCTATTTCACTCTCTTTTTCTCTTTCACGCTAAAAGATTGAAGTAATTTTGCACTTTTAATCTGACCACCTATGCGGATTGTATGCACAATCACAAAGTGCATTACAATTTGTGTGAACTCATGCATTGTCTAGCCTTGTATCACAAATTGAGCAACAATTCTTGTTCTGCGCTTTTGTTTGCATCAAAAGAAGACAAATATTTAAAGACCTTATTGATAACTTTGGTTTTTTTCAGTAGTAGTCAAATTCAAAAATCACAACTGATAATGATATGATATCTAACAAGAAAACAAAACCCAAAAAAGAACAAATTGCATGTAGATTTCAAGCCAACACTGATAAATACGTGATTTGCCCTTGACTACTTCCATTATAATAATCTTATGAGAAACTGAGACAATGTTTAGGCCAACTATATCTCGCATCTATGTTCTAGTTAGAAAAAAATTCCAAAATCCAAATTTTCCAAGTTACAAAAACTATGTGAGTTATCATTAACAAGAATATGTTTTTGGATTGTTTAAAACTAAATTGTTTACTGTAGAATTATACTTGGATCAAAAGAACAACAATCAAGAGCATCTTAACAAACATCATATTCAAATTAGTATCATTTTATTATAAATGATTATACTTTGCAACTAGTTATGTGAATACTTTAGATGCTACATATTATGTGATATCATAAACTCACACTTAGCAGATGAAGACGTAAATGTATCAACAAATCAAAGAGGAAAATGTGAATTTATCACAAAAATCTATCAAAGTAGACTCTCATTCAAGTATCAAAGTGATTGATGCAAATCCAAAGAAGCTTATCAATCAATAGTACAGTGCAATCACCTGTGTGTGAGCAAGAGTAACCATGTTGAGATTGACAAACGGCGCAAGTACTTGGAAATTTACCTATAAATAGTGATTGTATTTCTTGAATTCTCTGCGCGAACAAAGAAAAAAACAGCAGAACAAAAGCATCCTTAGTATTTCATTAAAGATATCCACAAATTAATATTGTTTTCACATCCTTGACAAACATATATAACAAGTGTATATATAAAACATATATATTGAGAAGATAGTGACTTAGCGATCCTACAGATGGAGTGCATTTGATCAAATAGATCATTCTTCTTGATTTGAAATTGGCAAAGATCTCAATTTTTGTGCCAATTCTCACGTCATAAACTGAAGTATCCACCAACTATGTTATGAAAGAATATATAAAACCATCAAAATGTAGATTCACGAGTAATAATACACAAAGAGATATATACCTCATGAAAATATTTTGTGACAGTAAGATTATTGACTTGCAAAACATTGGCCTAAAATCTAACATCGAGGTAGCATGAGTCATCACATTTTCACATTCAAGCATCACATGTGAAACTCAGACAATTAACGAAGTTATTTCTTACTGTAATCGTTAACTATCATATGATGCGTACCAAATTCTAAAATTATATCTAACGGCCTAACATGGATAAATTATCAGACATTAGACCTCTACGTGGCAGCCAGTTCAGGACCGAGTACCGACTATTGCGACAAGCCATGAAAGAAATCAGAAACAAGATAAAAGATCGAACACAGCACAGCGACGAATCTTTTAGGGCAGTCTACTAAAATATTGGACCCGCGAACAAGAACAAGAAAGTTCTGGAACTGGACCGATGGCGATCACGAATTCGAAAGTGCCAAGTCACCGCAGGCCCGATGGTCCGAATCCGAGGAATCCGAGCACGGCCGTCGCGAGCCGAAACGAAGCCCTAGATTCGCCGTCGGGGCCGTCAGGGCCGTCGACCGCAGTCGACACGGACCAAACGCCATGCGCGCACGCCGTTCTGCGGATGCTTCGTCACAGCGGAAGGGGCTTACTTAGCACTAATAAGCGGACGGGGTCGGAATCGTGATTAGTGGCGAATTAGCGCCCCGAGACGAGGAGAAGTGCTTGCTAAACGCGCGTATTAGGCAGCGGCCGTCATTAGCGCGAGCGGAGACCGGAGCTGCCTGCGTGTACTTGCGCCAGGGATCGGAAATCGAATCATAGCGTTGTGCTTTCGCTTTTCCCCCGAAGAAAGGACAGCGCGAGCAGAGCAGAAGAAGAGGAAACGCGAGAGGCTGGAGTAGAAGCGGAAGGAGCACTTCTGCTGCTGCTGCTGCTGCTGGTGCTGGAGGTGGTGGTGGTGTGTTGCTGCAGTTACCTGAGCATCGGATCGCTGGACGAAGAGACAAGTGGGAGACGGGGAGAAGAGGAGAAGGGGAGAAGGTCGGGGCGGAATGGGATCTGCGATGTGATGTGGGAGGATATAGGGAGGGGAGGAGGAGGAGGAGGAGGAGTAGTAGGAGTGTATTGAGGCGCGATCGGCGATCGGACAAGGGGCTAAGGTCGAGGTGTTGAGAGGCGGAAGAGGTCCGCTGTGCTATATGCTACCTAAAAAGAGAGGCGCGGGGGAGGCAGAGTTGGGAAAATTGCAGAAGAAGGCGAAGCCCGAGGAGGAAGCGAGTTTGGTGGTAGGGAAGCAGCACAGTTCAGTCATGGCTAGTGACGGTTCCGCATCGGAAATGGAGATCGACGAGGATTTGCACAGCCGCCAGCTCGCCGTGTATGGCCGTGAGACCATGAGGCGCTTGTTTGGCGCCCGCGTTCTCATATGTGGTTTGCAAGGATTGGGAGCAGAGATTGGTACGTTCCGGGACTGTCTGCTTCTAAATTTCTGCTGTTTTCGATTCACGAGATCACGTAGAAAGTCTGGGTTGCTGATTGCGTCCTTTAGTGGTCAGCGATTGGTTCAAGGGCGAGTTTCGGTTTCCGATTTATGTTTGTGTCCGAGGACAGGAATTCCAGCAAATCTTCTGTCGTAGTTCTACTTCCAATTTCACATCTCTCTTCGCCACCACAGAATCCTAGACGTCGAAAGAATCATCGTCATAATCATCGTACTCAATGTCGGACAGGTGGAAAGCTTTTCTGTTTCTGAGTGCGATTTACACGGAGGAGGAAAGGTTCTTTATGATGTAAAGATGAGACACCAATTGCACAAAGCTGTTTTGACCTAATGCCAAAGACCTAAGGCCTATGAACTTTGTACTCTGACTGTCTCTCTGTTTACATATTTAGGCTATGAATGAAAACCTGGTGTCTCTCAATCAAAAATTATGCTCCGTTTAGATGCCCCACGTAGTCATACGGGCTTACATTCATATTCTCATAGTTCTGAAGCTGACTGCGCAACTTTTCAACGCCAGTCTCGGTGATGCCACTCTCACGGCATTGTGATCAGTTTAAGGCAACCATCCCTCGATGTACAAAACGCACCTAAGACACCCTCGTCGATGTTCCACGCAGCCTTTTCTGGTCATGCTTATGGGTTGTCCCTTTCTCTTTCCATCTGGAGAGAAGATGACATAACACAGCCTCATCTTCAAGAACAGTGATCAGATTCTTGGCCGCTAATGACGAATGGAGCACACTTTCGCTACCAGTCATCAGTTTATTTTCATATTTTGCTGTTATCATTATTGCATTTGATGTCATGCGATTGCTGAGAGTTTGGTGGCTTGTGCTTACAGCGAAAAACGTCATCCTGGCGGGAGTTAAGGCTGTGACACTCCACGACACCGGAAACGTAGAGTTATGGGATCTTTCAGCCCAATTCTATCTTACGCAGAGCGATGTAGGAAAGAATAGGGCTCTAGCTTGCCTTGACAAGTTGAAGGAGCTGAATGTTGCTGTGGACGTCTCAACGCATGTAACAGAACTCACCACCGACTTCTTGGCCAACTTCCAGGTTTGTACGCAATCATATGCTTATTTTGGTTCAGTTGAAGGATAAGGTTTTTGGTTTGAACGCTGATTTTCTATTCGTGCATCTCTTGACGAGGTTCGCTCTCTAAACTTCGTCTAAGACGCGTTGTACTTTTAGAGCTCCCGGACATGACAGCTTGGAGCCGACCTTACTAGAATCGATGAATGGTTCTTGTCGATGGGGTATGTTTAAGCTTTTCTGTACTGCTATTTTGTGTAATAGCCACTCCCATATGGACGTTTTTGAATGTTGCTCTTCTGCTGTGTAAATGCAGGTTGTGGTCTGCACTGACGTCTCATTGGCCAAAGCAATTGAGTACGACGACTTCTGCCGCGCGCAAAACCCTCCCATTGCATTCATCAAGACAGATATCAAGGGACTTTTTGGCAGTGTCTTCTGCGATTTTGGTCCTGAGTTTACTGTGGTTGATGTGGATGGGGAAGAGCCTCACACGGGCATCATTGCCTCTATCAGCAATGATAGTCCTGCTCTTGTTACGTGCGTGGATGATGAAAGGTTGGAGTTCGATGATGGCGATTTGGTGGTGTTTGGTGAGGTTCATGGAATGACTCAGTTGAACGATGGGAAGCCCAGACTCGTGAAGAACTGTCGTCCTTATTCCTTCTATCTTGATGAAGACACCTCCGGTTTCGGTGCATATGAGAAGGGTGGTATCGTCACCCAGGTCAAGCAGCCGAAGGTTCTCAAGTTCAAACCGTTGAAGGAAGCTCTCAAGGAGCCTGGCGAGTTTTTGCTAACTGACTTTGCCAAATTTGACAGACCTCCTCTATTGCACCTTGCCTTCCAGGCTTTGGATGCTTTTGTGGCTGAGATGGGCAGATATCCAGCTCCTGTTGATGAATCAGATGCACAGAAACTCATAGAATTGACCAAGGCTCTTAATGAAAAGTCAGGCCAGAACAAGCTCGACTCAATTGACGAAAGTTTACTGAAGCTGTTTTCAAGTGGATCCCGAGCCTGCCTAAATCCCATGGCAGCAATGTTTGGCGGGATCGTGGGGCAAGAAGTCGTGAAGGCCTGCTCTGGAAAGTTTCATCCCCTGTTTCAGGTACTATCCTTCACCCATCGGAGACTTCTCGCTCACTCTCGTCGGTGTCGTCTTGAAACTTATATCTTTTATTCGAAATTTTTTCTGCTGATAAAGATGTTCACTCTGTTACTGTTTCGCTCCGTTCTTCGAGGAAAGGTACTAATATTTTTCATGTCCGCAGTTTCTGTACTTCGATTCGGTCGAATCTCTACCTTCTGAACCGCTCACAGCTGAAGATGTGAAGCCGTTGTTCTCCCGATACGATGCCCAGATTTCTGTTTTTGGTTACAAAATGCAACAAAAGCTCGAGGAAGCAAAAGTGTTTGTTGTCGGTGCTGGTGCACTGGGATGTGAGTTCCTCAAGAACCTTGCTCTTATGGGCGTCTCCTGCGGGCAGAAGGGAAAATTGACACTGACAGACGATGATGTCATTGAGAAGAGCAACCTTAGCCGGCAGTTTTTGTTCCGTGACTGGAACATTGGCCAAGCAAAGTCCACATGTGCTGCAGCCGCGGCTATCGTTATTAACTCCGATCTCAAGGCAGAAGCGCTGCAGAATCGTGTGAGTTCTGAGACCGAAACAGTGTTTGACGATCAATTCTGGGAAAACCTGGATCTTGTAGTTAATGCCTTGGACAATGTCAATGCGCGGCTTTATGTGGACTCAAGGTGCGTTTACTTTCAAAAACCACTTTTGGAATCTGGCACCCTTGGAACGAAATGCAATACTCAGATGGTGATTCCCAACGCAACGGAAAATTATGGTGCTTCACGGGACCCTCCAGAGAAGCAGGCTCCGATGTGCACTGTGCACTCATTTCCCCACAACATTGATCATTGTCTGACATGGGCAAGGTCAGAGTTCGAGGGTCTCTTGGAGAAGACACCAGCCGAGGCTAATAGTTTCTTATCGAAACCAGAAGAATATAAGGCAGCCATGAGGTCAGCGGGAGATGCTCAGGCCCGTGAATTGTTGGAGCGCGTTGTGGAAGTTTTGATTGATGAAAGATGCAACTCGTTTGAGGATTGTGTCCTTTGGGCAAGGAAAAGGTAATACCACCGGAAATCGTGTGCGAAATAAGTTCAATGAATTGCATTGGTTTGCTTTCGGAAGTTGTACACCGAGTTGGTGGTTAACGCAGAACCATGGAGATGCGCCAACTCAGTTATGCTCCGAGTTGGAGCTGATCATGATTTGGATAGTTTCCCACTGGTCTATTTTCTTTCTCGCAACCTCATGAGACACATTGTTTTCTCGTCTGACCTGCGCTGCCTATGGTGCGCTGCAGGTTCGAGGACTATTTTGTGAATAGAGTAAAGCAACTCACCTTTACCTTTCCCGAGGATGCTACGACGAGCTCGGGTTCTCCATTTTGGTCGGCACCGAAACGATTCCCGAAGGCCTTGGAGTTCACCTCCAGCGATCCCGCTTACCTATCCTTTATTGCCGCTGCTTCTATTCTACGAGCAGAGACTTACGGTATTGCAGCGCCTGATTGGGCTACCAACGCTAAGAAGCTGGCTGAGGTTGTGGATCAGATTAAGCTCCCAGACTTCGTACCAAAGCAAGGAGTGAAGATTGAAACCGACGAGAAGGCAACTACAATGAACAGCGGATCCTTCGACGACGAATCGATTATTGACCAGCTAATTAACAAGCTTGAAGAGGGAGCAAAGACACTGGCACCAGGTTTTCACATGAATCCTATTCAGTTCGAGAAGGTATGGACAATCCTATCCCTCATAAGGTTTATCGCTCATGTCTTATTTGAATAGTCCTCCAAGTAAAATCTGGGGAATCAAGTGAAGCGGGGAGCAACGCAAGACGGGTTTAGGTTGAGAATCGAACATTTTCTGTTCAAAAGTTAGAAAAGGAAGGGAGAATAAAGGTCCATTACTTATGGACCCCAATTGCCTGGTAGACTGAGCTCGTCAATTTGACGGATGATTGGATTTTGTTATGTGAACAGGATAATGACACCAACTACCACATGGATTTAATTGCCGGACTAGCGAACATGCGAGCAAGGAACTACAGTGTTCCTGAAGTGGACAAACTTAAAGCGAAGTTCATAGCCGGGCGTATCATTCCTGCTATAGCAACAACTACTGCCATGGCCACAGGTTTGGTTTGCTTAGAGCTCTACAAGGTGCTTGCCAATCACAAAGTGGAGAAATATAGGAACACTTTTGCCAATTTAGCTTTGCCCCTTTTCTCCATGGCAGAACCTGTTCCTCCCAAATCTTTTAAGCACGGGGATATGACATGGTCAATCTGGGATCGCTGGGTGATTGCTGGTGACCTAACCCTGAAGGAGTTGTTAGCTTGGTTTCAAGAGAAGGGACTGAGTGCGTACAGCATTTCTTGTGGCCAGAGCCTTCTGTACAACAACATTTTTCCTAGACACAAAGATAGGATGGATAAGAAGGTGCTGGATTTGGCAAGGGACATTGCAAAGCTCGAGATTCCTCCCAATCGGCGTCATTTTGACCTAGTGGTTGCTTGTGAGGATGAAGAGGGTGAGGATCTGGATGTCCCATTGATATCTATATGCTTCCGTTAGGCTGGTACTTTTATTCCCATCGATATCTTCTATTGCTTCTGGGTGGAAATTTCACTCGAAATAAGGAGCTTTTTCGCCAGGAGAGAACATCTAGAAATTTAGGATAATTTTCAACACGGATCCGACCTCATGTTTGTTATCCGTGTCTCACTCGACACACATCAGGAGTACAGAAAACTGCAGCAATTACAACTCAAATTGTTCCGAGTAATTTACTGCCTATCTTTGTCACCAATCCTCAGGGTGAGGTCTAAGTTTGTTGAAACAGTACTTCTCATGTCATCTGGTTTTGAATGGAGAAACAGCAGCTAGGTCTGCGAAATGAATCTAGCATCTGCGGGACTTATGTTGTTTATTGAGTATGGGTGTATTGCGCCTTTGTGGACTTTGCTTGGCGCTCGGTATCTTTACACGAGAGTACATTAGTACTCTCGTGTACCTTGCCAGTGTTGGTTTCATTTGAATGGCTACTGAACGCCTGCTAGACTAAACACGCGTTTTCAGTACTGAATCTCAGGCTGCCAGCCCACTAGAATATTTCACTTTAATGCTTGTGGCTAGACCTCCGAGTTTTGTTTGTTTCAGGAATAAAGTTGTACCCAGAACCTTGGGAAACTAATGCAAATGTGGTCTTCACACCGATATGGGTATGAGAGGCTCAACTGTGATGTATGCGGCAGAGATATGTTCAGTGTTCTCGAGTACGGGGACCAAGGAGGGAACCATGTCAGAGCTAAACGGAAACGAGCCCGATTGTAAGTAGATTAAAATCTAAACCCTCGTAAACCGTAATGCGAAAGATGTGAAGATGTTGTCGGAGATAATGTAACGAATGGAAACATCACTGGACATGGTTGATCGAAAGAAACTTTTTCCGGTTGAATGCTGAATATCATAATTCGAGGTGGTTTCAAGAAATGAAGATGATACATAGTAATACGTATTTCCAGTCATGAGGTATACCAAATTGTGGAATTTGTTGGAGTCGGAGTGGTCAATGTTCTCGGAAGTTTATGATTTAGGTAGATTCCTGTGTGTGCCCAACTAGCTTGTAGGTAGAGAACGTTGTAAGTCAACTCTGCTTGGAACACAGGTACTGATGTAAATTCGAAATCACTTCCGCTCACTAAGTGAGCGAAGAATGTATGTGATTCCTAATTGTAAATACTAGATTACACTAAAACTTGAATGTACCTTTTAAAAACTAATGAAGAAGGTACATACCATATTTTTTCATAATGGATTCCTTTTTATCTCCAAGTTTCAAGCCAAAACCGAGTACAGACTTCAATGCGGCAGTACGAGAATCGACCTTTATCCGAATCCAAGTTTCGAGACGAAGTTGTCCACGAAACAAACAAAGAGGGCGTTACCACTTTGATATCTTCTCGTTCTGTCCTAGACACTTAGTGACGTGTCAGGGTACACTTGGTTAAATCACCCGATTCCCGTCAGCTGTGAGTCATTGAGAATTCACAGCCGTCGGTGGCTCAAGTTAGGATCGAGCACTATTTCCTTTGATAGCCAGAGACAGACCTCTCTCCGCTAGTGTCTACTTGCTCTGAGACAATTCTTGATGTCACAGCAGTTATTGTACACTGCCACTTGGAGCTGCCGACCATCCCACTTACGTGTTCCATGAGTGTGGACCTTCAAACTACTGGTAATTGTTGGAACGTACTTCGAAACGATCTTCTGACGTGCGTACACCATAACATCACAAAAAATCAGAAACACATTAGCCTGGATGGCATCTTTCGTCGGATGCCGAAAATCGCTATATTATAATTCTCCTAACAATGGATTTACGCTGGTGCTGCCGGTGCTCGGATATTCGAGAAAAACCATCACCGCTTTAAAAACAATATTTCTTGCTCATATTCTGCAAGCTCGTATACAACATGAGCCTCTTCTGTTCACTATGTTGGGAGTCTCCCACTGCCTCATTCCCTGCACTTGGAGATTCTGCCTAATTTCGGCATAGCGTGCAAGGATGCCCTGCACTTTTCTGGGTGCTCCCCGTTGCAGAATCGCCTGTTTAAGTCGATGGCCTCGTTAATCACAACTTTCTGGGACATCTCCGTGGTGTCTATCTTAGTGACCTCAATCTGCATGATACAAGGAGGAATCCAGGCAACTTCCGCTTCGTTCCTCCATTTCCTAGGAAACAATGACTTGAGAGTCTTCTGCTGCGGAATCCATCTCTCTGACGTGGATTCCACACTATACTTCTAGCTAAGCTCAACGTGAATCTACTGTAAACAAGGGGGAGAGGAGCCTTCGGCGTCATCTTCTTCCTCTTGCTGTCGAATAATGGCAGCAGCCAATTCCTCATCTTCTTCAGTCTCATTCTCGCCTACGTCTGCGGGATTATGGTCGTAGGATTCAAGAGACTCTCTGTCAGAATCTGACCCGAACCTCTGATTCAGGAGCTCGTCTACAAATCCACATCCAACCACATTGCTCTATATAATGTACACAAAGCGAGCTCTCGGGCAGCCCTTGGAGTTCGAAGGCGGCCAAAAGTATCCCAGCTTATCTTTCCACGTATTTCCCTGGCCTTCCTGGGCAATGGCTGAGATCGACCCTTCTCATTGTCGTACGCGATGCTACTAAAGCTTCCCCGGTCGCTTTTCGTCTTCCTCTCCGAGCCTGCCACTTCCGCAGAGCATCGGACACCACTAACTACCCCGGCAGTCTTGCTCCTGCAACAGCTCGCTTCTCTGTCATCTCTCGCCTCCTCCACCTGCAAATTTCACGTTCCTGTCCCGGTAGTGTCGCCGATTGCTGCAGAGGGCTCCTCTTCCACATCGCCAGTGATCCCATCGCGACCGACCGGCTCACTGCTCGATGATCCCAACTCTCCTTCCCGTGTCACGAATTCGTTTCTCACGCCGCCATCGTCAAATGACGAGTGGGGACCCGAAATCCCGCGAACAGGAGGGGCAGGATATGCGATGAATCTCTCAATAACCCAGGCCCACAAACTTGCAGAGCTCATCGCCGATTATCACCAGATTCAATAGAGTCAGGGAGCTATCAGCTCAGATGCCACAATTTGGGCGGGAAGAACAAGAGCTCCGGATCACGAACGCAGTGACGACATTCGTGCCATCAAGTTCTGTAGGGAATGCCTCGAGAGCGGTGCATGAGCTTCAGTCCGTCGTTGGCATTCACGTACACGGTTGTCTTCTCATTCTGAATTTTTTGTTTCGGTGTACGTCTTGAGGAAGGGCCTCGTCGAGACGCACGAAGTGTTGCGGATGATGGACACCTCCTTGGAACTTGCATAGCGATCGAAAAGCCCTTCTGGTTTCGCAAAGTGGACTCCAGCATCGATAGAACGGCAATTTCCAGTTCGAGGCATGAAATCATCGATTCGATTTGGGTCCACTAATGGTGTGATTCGAGGTTCGATATGGTGAGATCGGGTATCCATCGGACGCGAGGAATGAATAGAAGGTCGCGTCCGTTAAATTGCACAGATAATCTAGGGAGAGATCGGACAAACTTCTCAGATGAAAGCACTCGGACATTGCAAGGTTGAAGTGAGTTCCTTCTAGGAGCCGACAGATGATTCAATTACGACTGCAAAGGAATTTGGAGATGACGAATTGCGGGGACGTGTACGTGGAAAACGTGCAAAAGGTTTCGTCCGAAGTCTTCTTTCGATCTTCTTCCCCTCGCGATCCCGACTCTCGTGATCGTATGCAGCACACGGATTGTGGCGAAGTCTCGTCTGATTGTGATCGGATCATAGAGCTCGAGAATTACACATGGTTGGATTCCACAGCGTTCGACCAGAGAGCACATGACATGAACGAATGCGGAGGAGATTCGGTCCAGGAACAACGCAATTCGACTGAACCTGAGAGTCCGAGAGATGAAAGCACGACGACGAAGAAGAAGACGAAAGTCGGAGCACTGCGCGAGTTTTGGCTCGAAAAGCTCGACGGCAAATCAGAAGCTCCGAGCATTGTACGAGCCCCATGCGCCGATCCGAGCCCAGGGCTCCAAAATGTGGATGCCGGTGCCGAGAGCGGGTGCGAGACTTCACCACGGGGCGAAGAAACTCGGCTCTCTGTGCAGTCGGAAGCCTCCGACGCCATAGATCAGGCAAACACGTACAAGGACGTGGCGATCTTTCTGCAAATCTGCTCAGATCCTTGCGATTCCCCACGGCTCGAGTCTTCAGCCGCCCCCGACAATGGAAGCCAAGAATACGTGACCGTCAAAATCTTCGCCCTCGACTTGAACAGATCGAATCCTCGATCCATGAAAGCACAAGTCGACGCCATCGCTGCCGCCGCTGAGACTCCGCAGGCTGAACAGGACGAGGCCAAGCATCCGGCGACACCTGAACTCGCCCAGCAGCACGAGGCAGACGACAGTCGAGAAGGTCGAGAAGTGTCGAAACCTCAGGGATTCGACATTCGTGAGCTGGATGCAGACGACTACTCCATGTACGAGCCGGGGATGCCTGTGGCCCGATTCCAACTCCGGGAAGGAGACGTGCTCATCCTCACGGACTCGGCGGAGCCCTCGGACCTCGATCCCGGTGGGTACGTGCGATTCCACGTAGCAGGACGAGAACCAGCTGATCCATTCCACGAGGGCGACGTGGTGGTGCGAATGGGCCGATTCGAGCCCGACCCAATCGATGGAAGTACGCGCTGGGTTGCTTCGTCGAGCGTGGAGGTGTTCGTGCACAGGACGGACGAATCTCCAGGCCTCTGGTTTCTGGCCGCCAGAGCGCAGAACAGGCGATCTGCACACTCCGTCGACGACGACGACGACGACGCAGCTGATGATTTGCACGTCTCTTCGTCTGTGCTCTCGTGTGCAGTCGCGAGTGCGAGCGCAAGTGGAAGCACGAAGGAGGAGGACGGAGATTTGATCATTCGCATCGGGTTCAGCAATTTCTGGCACGTCGTTCCCTGGGTCGCAGGATTTCAGCGCCTGCCTCGAGACATTCTCGTGCGCGCGATCTACTTCCGCCTTCGGGATAGTACATTGGCAGTCGCTAACCTGTTCTGGGCAGACCACTGCAACTCGTACATCTTCCAAGGCCGGCGCTCAGAATTGTTTCACGGCTCGGTTTCGCGCGCAGACATTCCCCAGGTTTTCAAAGGCTTTGGACTCCGTGTCGATCACCAGCTCGACGATTGTTCGTAGACGCTGCTATCACGTGATCGAGTTTTTGGACATTGCAATCTTTGCCATCGGAAGTATTCTCGAGTAGACCTTTCAATCAAACGACACGTTTGACAATATTGTGTTACTTCAGAGTCATGCCATTAGAGTTGGACAATCAAGCTGTCAATACTCCCTCGAATGTGTTCTGCACGAATGCACTCGACCATAGCTAGTCTGAATTATCAATCAGTGACTGCGGTTGCAATGTGCGCTCTGAGGTAGTTTTAATTACTCATCGCGCCACATTGCCATTCATTTCCTTATGGTGGTCTCGCTCAGCTTGCAATTGTGATAATCTCGATCAGATTTCATCGCGTTCGTTGCTCCACGAGTATCCGAGATTTGAGACATAACTGTGACCATGTCCAGTCATGACAACAGTGGATCGAGAAGGCAGACAGCAGAAGGCGATTGCGACGACAGTGTGCGGTACCAAATTTAGTGAACGATGAGCGTACAAGCCCGACGAAATCCTCGACAGGATATATAAATGTAGTTGATGGCACAAATCAGTAAACCCCGAAAGCCAACTTGAAAAGTGGTCTTTTTCAATTCAAGTTGTGTAAATAGTCTGAGTTGATTTCAAAATTAAACAATACTCCACCAAAATTTTAAAATAAAAATCAAATGAAAAAGTTACATATTATTTTTTTCCGGTGATAAATGAAACTATTAATGATTTATCAATCTATTGAGATATTGAAGAACTCAATTATAATAAATTATTTTTGACTAAAATCTATATTAATATATAAAAATATCGTAATATATATAATTATAATATGATATTGTAATTTTACATAACTTGAAATATGGAGTAAATTTACATAAATTGTATGTTATAGAATTCATATATCTTGATATAAAAGTTGGTGATATTTTTTAATGTACTCAATGATTGATATTTAATTAATAACTGCATACTCAGATATTATGAATTATTTTCTTAATTAATTTTTTTTCAACTTTTTAAAAAAAAAAATAAAAAAATTATCTTTGAATCCTTTTACTTATTTTTTAACCATGAAATAAAAAGAGGAATTTTATACTCAATGAATTTATAAATTTGATTTGTGATTTAAAATAATATTATAACTGAAATTGTAAATTATATTTTATTTAGTAATTCTAGAACCATTGAATTTTTAATTGAATCTAAGATAATTAATAAAGCATGAAACATTAGAATCTTATCTTCAAAGACATAAAATCTAATATTGTATTAATCAAATTTTATCAACCAAAGTATAGCTTCCGTTTTATAAAATCAATCTATAAATCTTATTTGAAACTACTTTATATATGACATGACAGAACCATACATATATCAAATATGATCAACTTTTTAAAGATAAAATTAACGTTATTAGAACGTTAATTTTTTCGTGATATGAAAATACAACTCTGAATGTAACGATATTGAGATTAATAGAACAATTCGAAGATCTATACATGTCTTAAAATTCTAAAAGTTACTACACTGATTATCATCAAAGTATTACAAAATTTTTCAATGCTACAAATTTTGGCCCCAAAAGTAAGAATCAATGATATTTCATAGTATAAAATTCTGAATTGACTTTTTCTTTCATAGCTGTAATCCTCATTTGATAATATGTTTACACTCAATGATCTTTTGATAACATCAAAATATTTATTTTACAGCAGCAAAATTGATGCGTATACATTTTCAAAATCATAATCTAAACAAAATATTTGATATGAGTATGATTGAATTAATGTTACTTAAATTTAGTTTGAATTATTTTTATCATCTTAACAGACATAAGCAACTTTAGATGTAAAAATATTAGAAAAAAAGACAAAACGATAAAAAGTGTATCAGGTCGACCCAAACGAATTATGATGATTTGCATATCACAAAATTTCAAGGTATACAAAAATTCATGGTATGAGATGGTTACATCAATGGGAGAATAGCAGAAATCTATCGTTTGCGCATGCATCACACGCCTTCAATCTCAGAGGTTGACAAGAGCTCCGGTCAGCATGCCCTCGACTGCCATCATCGATATGGTTACAGGAACTGGTGGATATCATGAAGTAGCGGTTGAACATACATGTCTGCTCGAAATAAATAAAAACGAGCTTTTTGTCTATCTCATCGATCAAGTTGGGCCTGGTGACACCTGGTGCTGGCTTTCTGAGCTAGCTTCTAGCACTGGATTCAAACGCTCGAGATCACTTCTCGGTATTCAGAGACAAACGTGTGACGAAATGTCAAAACATGCAGCTGGCTAAATTCACCTGAAGCTAACTAAGGTACAGTTAGGCACTGGAAGAAAACTGTCTGAGACTGAGCACTTGAGAAAAGGTTCCTCGGTTATATTCTGTACAATCTCCAAACTTTGGGTACAGTAGCAAACCGTAACTTCTTGACGATGAGTCTAGTCCAGCAGCAGTAGGTGGCGAAGTCCAAGCAAATGTCAACAACTGTGAACAAGGAAGATATTCATCTGGCTCGCTTTAAACAACACTTTAAACAACAGTAAGGCATTTGACAAAACCTATCTTGAGCATCGAGCATCGAGCATCAGTAGACCAGAGCACTCTATGAAACATTTCACTTTATCGATGTGATAAATTTGTGAGTGGACGAGGCATTCAGTTGGATAGAACTGGCAGGCTGTGCACGAGGACCGGGCCACTTGGAAGAAAAACGTGACAAGACAAAAGGCATCTTGCTCCCATGTTCCATTTACTGTATTTTTGTACAGATGATGCAAATGTGCATCGAAGACAAGGAGATGGGAAGCGTCGAAAATTTGCTAGAACTGAATCGAAATCTGAAACCTCATCTTCTTCTGACTAGGCCTATTATGACTACTTTTATGAGAGGAAGTGTGGGCTTCGAGGGCACGCAGCTAAATGCTCATGCCCGCTTGAGTGTAAACATGAGCAGGCAGACGTGGAGTCACTCGGAGCTGCAGAACTTCCGATCGGGTGACCGACGCCCCCGACACTTCCACCATGCTCACATCTTTGGGACTCATGCCTTCGGGAAGGTTCAAGTCACAAGTGTGAAGCAGCTGAGCCAAGCCGTTTTCTACTGTCATCAGTCCCAGATTGTATCCTACACACATTCTTCGACCTGCGCCGAAGGGCAGAAGCTCAAAGTTCTGACCTTTGACGTCGATCGGGCTGTTGAGAAACCTATCCGGATTGAACTCCAGCGGATCCTCCCACACTTGAGGGTCTCGTCCGATCGCGTACGTGTTGACCATGACCCTCGTCTTCGCTGGGATGTCATAGCCACCGATTTGGACGTCCACATCCGATTGATGAGGGAGCAGCAGAGGGAGCACGGGATGCAGACGGAAGGTTTCTTTAATCACGGCTCGGAGGTATTCGAGGTTCACTAGATCTGATTCTTCTGCAAGCCTGTTCTTGCCCACCACAGTATCGAGCTCCTTCTGAACTCTTCGTAGCATATCTGGGTGACGCATGAGCTCGGCTAGCGTCCACAACATCGTCGCTGAGCTGGTGCTGGACGAGGCTATGATGACGTCCTGCATGAAAACATGAACACGTTCGTCACGTTGCAGCCAATTCAGATTCGGCACGAAACAGTAACAGAAATGTTTCCTGGTCAGTGGACAATGCCGCTGCTCCATTCTCGAAGTGAGCTGACTAGCCGATTAGAACAGATGGACGCACCTGAATAGCAGCCTTGATCATCTCGTCGGAAATGTCACTATTATTCTCCCTCTGACATGCCAACAGCACATCCACGAAATCCTGATCCAATGTTTCTTTGTATATGTAACTACCATCCTTGTTCCGATGGCTCGCTAAGATGCTGCTGTAGAATTGATCTGCTGTGTGGGCCAACTTGCGCATACGAGCTTCAACCCCGCCCAGATCGAGAAACATCAAGAAGGGGAAGAATTCTCCAGGAAAGAAGAAACTTGTTCCACCGATCTCCTTCACCAAAGCTTGGAAAGCTTCGGCTCCTTCGGCTATGTCCTTACGCTTGGTACCATAGTACCTTCTCCTGAAATTGAATCTAGTGGTTTGGTTCAAGACTAGCGCTGTTAATTTCGCATCAAAATCTACGAGCTCTCCTTTGTGCCCGTCGGACAAAATATCCTCGATAGTGTTCAATAACTCCTCCCTCCTAATGCTCTGCAAGTTGTGCATTCAACTCCATAAGCAGCTGTACGATAAGAAACTTGGCTTGTCTCAAACATTTAGTGATATTTCGGTCCAGCCAGAGAATTTAATGCCTCTTTCCGGACCTGCAAGATGACGAAGGTAGCGCTCTAAATTGAAGCAAGAATGTAGTTATGAGATACATCAAGTATCTCAAAGTATCTAAAATGGAGCCTTAAGACGAGGGCTTACCTGAAGGTGGGAGTAGAATGAAGGAAAAAACACATCTGCTAACAAAAGACTGAATTGGAAATCTTGAGTGAGTGAGGTCACCTTAGATTGCTCGATTCGCTTGGCGGAAACGAGCTCGGTGGTGATGACCTTACGCATAAATCGCCACTTATCGTTGTTGGGAGTGAGAGACGTGGACTGGTTGTCGTAGGCTAATATTTTGCCCGACTCGAAATGAGGACGAGAAGCTAGATGCTGGTCCTGGACCTTGAGAACCTCCCTGGCCAAATCCGGCGAGGAAACCACAACCGTGGGGAAAACGCCCATCCTCAGTCTCATGATTTTTCCGTACTTCTCCGACATTGCCATAAGGGACTGATGTGGAGCTGAGCCCAGCATGTGAAGATGTCCGATCACGGGCAATCCCAGAGGTCCAGGTGGGAGTCGGGCCTTACTTCCAAATAAGTGCTTCACTATCAGGAATCCAGCTAAAGCGGTGCATACTGAGATGACGATGTACTGAATATTGAGAATGTTGCTACTGATATCAAAAGTCAGTTCCATTGTGTCCGCGGTTCCCAGCGAGTCAACTCGATCAATCAGGAGCTGCTCGAAAGCAACTCTAGATGCAAATTGATCTCCTGGGAACCCCTCAACTCCTGTCGGAAGCTCTCGGAATTGTACGAGATACTTTCCCAGCACAAGTGTTGGCCATTTATACTTGGAATTGAGTGACTGCATACGAGCGATGATTCCATCGAGACTTAAACAATGTTACATGAACTAGAATAATTTTTTTTCAGCTTTAGTATATTAACTGGAACCTACACCTCAAACCGTTTCACACGTCTTCACAGAATATTTGAGTTTGTCTTGCAGTTGAAGATTGTTCGCGTGATCATGCTGAAGATGCCAAGATTTCATCAGTGTGAGCGACACTGAACGTTTATTATCAGGAAATATTTGAGGAGGACGAATATCATGAGCTTAGAGTTCGAGTTATGTCTTGAAAACTATTGGAAGTGGCTAGTATGAATCAAATGACATTATGGACGCAGCTCGAGTTGTTCGACCCTCGGGACTTGAGCCCCTATCTATCAACCCGGATCGTCCGAGGTTTTATATATTACATCTGCCAGCAAACATTTACTGTACGAATGATTCGAGTGAACAGCATCATTTCTCCGTCAGTTCCACATCTCTCGACATTGAACAGACATAGAGTCTTTTTGAAGGAAAAAACGAGCTTGTTTTGTTTTGCATTACTAGCAATCATGCATATTGTTTGTTCGCTAAGTTGTGCTGCCATTCAGAAGACCTTGAGGGTTATTATCTCAAATTGAACCAACTGTAGCTTTTTCCATCAGATCTCAAAAATTTGCGTCTGGCGGCGTAATTTACTCTCTCCAGCAACAAGATGTGAAGTCAAAAACCTTTTGTCGAACGTTTGTGTAGATTTGTTGGTGGGATTCAGAAGATTCTGACGACTCTCGAGCGTGCCTATTTGTTGGTGGGATTCAGAAGCTTCTGACGACTCTCGAGCGTGCCTAGTTGATCGCGATCGGGGCTGAACGATAAAAGCCAATAATAGCAGACAGTGAATTGGGTAATACCCGAGGATTCAGTAGATGGTGTTTACTATTTTGCTCTTTCGGTTGACATCTTGAAACTTAAGAGACTAGGTCTAGTAGTGTACTTCCAGACCGGGCCAACCCGACCGATTTTTCCGAAGCATCCTACCGCCAGTCTTGCTCCGTGAGTCTTAGGAAGGTAACGGAATCGATCTGAAAAGAAAATCAGCTTCTCGATCTGTATCTTGACTGTACTGCTATACGCAATGGCTTCTCAATATGTTCGGGATCACGTTCAAAGGAACAGGATCGGAAGCAACAAGGGAAACATAAATTCTCGATCCGAATCTCCATAGACGCGTTCGGACCATCCGCCTATGCACCCTCATATCCGACTTACTCTGTCCCATGTTTGCTCTGTTGCTAAGTAATGCTGGATCTCGCTCGCTCGTTAATGGAGGAACCAGATTTACTTCGGAATCGTTGTCGTCTACCTTCGTGACCCATTATCTCATGAATCTTCGCCGACGGAATATCACACAGATCGCGTTTCGTGCCAGCCAGTCGTGCCACTGCATATTGTCATCAGTCGAAACCTTGTGTGAGCAACTACATCTCCCAACTTACGTGCCATAGTTGATCGACATTCTCCGTGGAGTTCCCGGTGCAGTAGTGCACTCTCCTTACCTGCTACTGGCACCCAGAAAATAACTCACTGGAAGAAGTCCACGGAGGGTTTCTCTCATCCTCCCTCAAGGTCATCGAGCTTCGATCCGGTTAGAGCGCCTGAGACTGATTCCCGGCCCACCTCTGTCAACATCCTGAGCTGTAACCCTCCGTCTCACTACTTTGAAAAGAAGGTGCTGCTTTTTGATGCTGCTGCATCAAAATGCAGACTCGACGAATAATTCGTTCGGGACTGGGATTCTTCAAGCAACACGCGGAGCAGGAATAGAGCGCGTCCCTGCAAAGCTCACTTAGAACATCCTGTCGCAGAAAATAATACTGCAGTTTACAACGAGCTGAATCAGGGTGGATATTCCGATCTTGAGGAAGTTGCGATGGAGATGCGATGGAGACCGGGGAGGTAACATTGTGTATTGCCAATAACGTGTCCTAATGTAGCTGACCAGGAATTAGTGTACTACTTTTCCCATGCATAGGCATTGAAAAAGTATAGAATCTAGTCTGCACGACCTGGTCAGGCTGTTGAGGAAGCAACAAGATCATGTCAATGCAGAAGAAGAAGAATCGTTCAACAGTTAGCTCGTGGACTATCCTCCGGCTTTTTAACTCAGGTATCTAGACAATGATAAGCTCAGGTGCACTGTTTTAAGTCTACGCAGATATAGCTCGCATGCTGAACAGCAGAACTGCATGCATGAATGAGAAAGGTATCCCAAGTTCTCAGTCTGGCAGTGAAATTTTACGTCAGTTTAGGGTTAGGGTTTAGGGTTTATTCATCTTCTACCTACTAGTTTTGTTTCGATAAAAGTTTGCTGGAACTCAGAGCTTCAATCATAACAACTTCTGCCTAGCCAAGTGACCACAAAAAGTACAGTTTCTTGATATTATGGATCGGGCAAGTTCTACTGAAAGAAAGATTTGTGCAACAGACCTTCTAAGAGCTTTATTACATAGTTTTCAGCTTATTTGTTACTTATTACTTTCATATATATGTATTTAGTTTCTTCTCAGCGTCGTTCATAATACTTCATACTTGAATAGTGTTTGGAGATTATACTCGTAAAAAACACAGGCATATTTAAGTAGACGTATTGCAAGATCAACAGTAGTCTGAGTTCCGAGGCCAGTAACTTCAACTTATCTCTATGACTATTTCTTTTTGAGCAATTTAGTCAACAGGAAATATCTGTATGCTATTTCACAAACACCACAGCCTGGGGTTAATTTCAGCCTTGACAGTTCATACAACGAGCTACCGATTGGAATGGAGTCCAGCTCATGTTGGGGAAAGAATCTCAGAATTTCTTATTAGGAGTTGAACGTCACATAAAGAGGAGTAACATTCTGCCTCGAGCCCATTATCAATTTTTGGCGAGGCAATTTTATATCCGTTTTGGGATCACCGACAAAAATTGCTAGCTGATCACCGAGCTGTCAGGTTCACAACTAGAGGGCACACCAACATTCACGAACTTGCTCCCCAGATATCAGCAGCTTCTAAACTTCGGGCTAGATCCGAGCCTAGAGGTTGGTCTGGGCATTGCGTGCTTGATGCGCTAGCGATTTTCCTCTGTTTTGGGATCTGTCTCCTGTCATGGAACTACCTAGATTCAAGAATCTATATGTTTTTGGAGCACAGGTCAGAAGCCCGCTTCAATCACTCAGAGTTTGAGGGCATGGCCATGTGGAATAAAAGCAGATTCCTCGAACATCTAGCTAGTGAATATGTTGTAGCGGTGCCTCCCATCTCATGATCAGCTCACGTGTACTTTTGAACACTAGGTACACGCCTTGAATCACGTAAAGAATCCACGTGCCACACCTTCCAATATCCGCGCTTCTCTGTGCACTGATCATACACCCCAGAGATAAGAAAACTTTAGAGAGACGATCGTTCAAACTTTGCATCTCCTCATCGTCTGAATTCGTAGGATCGAGCACGAGCAGTCACTGCATCCTGCAATCATCGTCGATTGAGGAGTATATGAACTGTCAGCAACCATGCGTACTATGAACCATCACAGGCCTGCTTTTAGGTGAATGGTACTGGATAACATATTCGAATCCTCAAATGTATACGAGTTAAGAAGAATTCCACCACAGGAATCAAGCCCTTTACTCGGAGTTGTTATTTCTCTGTAATCTCAGAAGTGTCCGATGCAAATTTCATTGCGTTCTTTAGAGGAGCTCTCTAAGACTCCCATGAATGATGTATACTGTACATGGCTGATATAAGGAGCAGCGGTCGAAGGCAAAAGAAGGAAGAATGTACAAAATTGGCTTCAAGTTCCTATGAGTCTTCAACCACTATTCTATGGTTTTCCCTCTCAGAGATTGAGCAGCTTTATCCAATTAGACAAACACCTAAGCTACGTTCTTGATTCCTGCTTTGATGTACACCGAAGCTGGTAAACGTGGAGTGACACGCAGCCGAAGAGCCTCCGATCTCGTCAATGAGGGCCCTGACACCTCTTCCATACTCAGGTCTTTGGGACTCATGCCCTTCGGAAGGAACATATTGCAAGTGTGAAGAATTTGAGCTAGAGCGTATTCCACCGTCATCATGCCCAGACTATACCCTACACACATCCGTCGACCAGCTCCGAAAGGCAGTAGCTCGAAGCTTTGACCCTTCACATCTATGGAGTTCTTGATAAATCTGCCGGGATTGAAGTGCAGCGGGCTATTCCAGATTCGGGGATCTCTTCCGATGGCGTATGTGTTGACCAGAACCCTTGTCTTCGCTGGAATGTCGTAGCCTCCTAGTTTGATGTCCACTTCTGACTGATGCGGCAGCAGGAGAGGGAGCACTGGATGAAGCCGAAAAGTTTCCTTCACCACCGCTCGAAGGAATACGAGATTAGCAATGTCTGACTCTTCCACTAGTCTATTTTTACCTACGACAGTGTCCAGCTCCTTCTGAACTTTCTGAAGATTGTCTGGGTGTCTCATAAGCTCGGCTAGCGCCCATAACATGGAAGCTGAGCTGGTACTCGATGAAGCCATGATCACATCCTGTCACAGTTCCGTTCGAAGTGAAGGTAAAGCAGGAGTAAAGTCTAAGAATGTGACGGAGAAACTGTGAATATGCAGACTCGTGTTAGACAACATTCTCCTGCATGAAGTGGCCTTCAATCCTCATAGAGCAGCAGCTTAGATTGTATGCTTCTTCATCCAATCGACTAGAGGAGTACACATTAGATGCCCTCACGTACTGCAATCGAGATTCAACGTTTTAAGAAACCATAGTGAAGCTGAATTGTTTGTACCTGAAGTACAGCTTTGATCATATCATCTGAAACGTTGTCTTTGTTCTCCTTCTGACATGCCAAGAGCACGTCCACGAAATCTTGATCTAGTGCCTCCCTGGACTGAAAGCTACCATCTTCTTTTCTATGGCTGGCCAGGATGCTACTGTAGAAACGGTCAGCTCTTTGTGCTAATCTATGCATACGGGCTTCTACTCCACCTATATCGAGAAACATCAAAAACGGAAAGAATTCTCCAGGAAAGAAGAAGCTCGTCCCAGCTTCTTTAATAAGCGATTGGAAAGCTTCTGCACCTTCGGCTGCTTCTCTATTCTGTGAACCATAATATCTCTTCCTGAAGCTAAATTGGGTAGTCTGGTTTAGCACTAGGGCCGTAAGCTTTGCATCGAAATCTACCAGCTGCCCGCCGTGTCCGTCACACAGAATATCTTCGATGGTACTTGAGAGCTCCTCCCTCCTTATGCTCTGTAGTCAATTTACACGTGATAGTGTAAGTAAAGCAGGACTGGATTTCAACGTTGGCGCTATTTGGCGCAATTCTGGCTTCCACTGATATCTATTTCCAGAGTATTGGGTGTAATGCTGTCACAGGAAATAAATTTAAGCATGCATCTCAAGGAGAAATCGGTTGCTACCATGTAGCTTGAACATTATACTCATCTGTAAAAGAAACCATCTAAACCATCATTTGAGCTCATTTCGTCCTTCTGATGCTAAGAAGAGCTTCATGGACAAGGAGGGCGTTTGTTTTTACCTTTGATTGCTCGATGCGCTTGGCAGATAAAAAATCCGTCGAAATGACCTTGCGCATCAGGCTCCACGTTTCATTGCAGGGTGTGAGAGAAGTGGACTGGTTGTTGTAGGCTAGGATTTTTCCGGACTCGAAGTGCGGTCGAGATGCAAGATTCTGGTCTTGTTCCTGGAGAGCTTCCCTGGCAAGATCTGGAGAAGAGACGACAACTGTGGGGAAAACGCCCAGCTTCAGGAGCATGATATTTCCGTGTTCTTTCGCCAGCTGCATAAGAGACTGGTGTGGAGCTGCGCCGAGAATGTGCAGGTGTCCGATCAAAGGCAATCCTGCTGGTCCAGGTGGGAGCCGGAGTTTTTTCCCTCTTAACTGCTTCACAATCAGAAATCCAGATATAGCTAGAAGGCATGATATAACAGCCGCTTGCTGATACATAACTATGTTGATAGTGACAGAAGAATCGTGCTCCATTGTGCTTATTGCTCCCAAGCGATGGTAAAATTTTTGTTTCACAGCTGCTCGAGAGCAGCATAACTAGCCAAATCGCTGTGGGAGGAGATACAGGGCACACGACGGTTCTCCTCCGAGAGTCCTTGAGGATTGTTCATGCTACTTCCTCCAGCTCACTGGCTGGCCCTTTATACAATCTCCTGATTGATAGGTCGGACTTCAATCACCGACGATATTGCCAAATCCGGTCTCGGAGAAGCAAAAAAAGCACAAAAAAGTGCGGCCGCAATTCAAGCCGTCTCTCTGTAGCCTCGACCTCTTCTGACGTGAAACCCGCGGCCACAGCGGGGCCGCTTGAACTACGTCAAAGCCCGCTGCAAGCGCTTCGAGAAAGCTTATCCATAGTTTCTCAGACGTAGAATTCGTTTATATTAGAACCAAATATGGCGAACAGTATTCACAAGTGTAATTACTTAAATTCACGTCGTTTGGAAAGAGTTGGACTCGGTGGCGGGAATCTTATCAACCGTGGGCCATGCTACCTCTTTCCGAGCTCAGTTTCATGCTACAGGTGCGACTGCCCACGGGTTTGAATTTTTCAGACTCCTAATGAATTTATGGTCTGAGTGATACTCGGACTGCGTCTCTTGATACTCGGACTGCGTCTCTTGATAACAAGGAAGGTCAAACTTTCCGAGAGAGATAACTTGTGGATGTTCAGAGCAATACGTCATTCAGAAACAAGCTCACCTGCTTTCTTGTCTGGCGTCATAGCCTGCGTTGCATACGCACGAGCTACATAATCTGCCGGAACCAGAAGCAAGTAAGTACCGGGTGGCAGAGATCTGTGTTCATTGGGTTAACTTGGTAAAGGTCTTTACCTCTACAATGCCACATAAACCTGTAACATGGGTCTTCATGGGCCTCGTGTTACACGTTTGGATTCACCCAAGTCTGAATTCATGGGGCTTCCTTTCCATTTTGCTGTTGTACTTTGTACCTTGTAGAGTTTATGATATCGATGACCCTGGCAAATAGAACATTTAAGGTCAATAACGACCTTAGAACAACACCAGCGATAGAAAGATTATAGCAGAGTCATAAGACACAGATGATTGTCTTTGGCTTTATTCCAATCTATCAGCATTTTTCATTTCTTGGGAACAATACAGCAGAGCCGATCATGGTCCACTGGTTCTTTTCTAAACTATTCACAAGCCTAAGTATCACTCATTTCCAAGGTTTTTTCTTGAGATCATTGAGTTATCAAAGAATGTGAAAAACATCCGGTTTTCGAAGAATGATATTCTCCTCTAATCTCTCTTAATCGAAGATTGAATAGAGGTTACTTGTTCAAGGCTCTGTCTGTTGCTGTGTAATCGACATGTATGGACCTGGTCAGGCCAACTCAGTAGAACATGGAGAGGATCAAGATCTAAATATACGATACACAAGTATTCTGTTGTTGATCAAAATACTACAATATTATTATGAACCTTCGGTCCCGTAAAAGTTACGTGCGAGAAATTTTTGAACCTCATCTATTCATACGACACGATTAGTGCCTACGAATTCATCCAGCCATTTCACAAAATTATTCATCAGAGAGAAACAGATGGGTTTCGATCATGATAATCCTCCCATTATTCTTTAAGAATCAAAACTATTTTCTCTACTCTACGCAAACTCGTGATATCACGAACTCCCTCTCGATCTGTTATCATCTGTTCAAGACTCTCTCTCCCGCTGTATCGTGGGAATCTCTGAGTGATTTGTGTACTTCGAGAAATTTTTTTCTTCACGTTTTAAAATTCAGTGGCTTCTGGTGTACTCCAGTCACTGCCTCTCAGCTTGTGGTCCCACGACGTCCCACTGAGTGCCTGCGGTTCTCTACCTGTCAAAGCGGAAAGCGTTGGGCATGACGGAAGAACGAAGCTCTGTCTGCTAGTGGAGACAATAAAGAACATCGTTTGACGGGATCGGTCGCTAGATCGCTGTCACGCTCGAGTCAACATATTTATCTCAAGCATATTCTCTCGATGGCCCAATCATTTTAAGTGGTACAATTGAACCCACAGTTGAGAGCATCGCGCCCTTTGGGCTGCAGATTTCGGGCTTCAGACGTGACGGACCGGAGAAGTGAAGAGCTGCATGATACCTCAAGACTTTGTACTTTCATCGTACGGAATTCTGATTTTAAGGGTCTTTTCCCCGTTCAGTGGAAATTGAGATTCTATGTTAGGAAGATTTCATGTTTATAAGTGTAATGAAAAGCACGGCATCCCTTTTAAAACTTGATTCTCAGAGTTTGTCCTCTTAGGAAGGTTGCGATAATGACTATGACAACAAGTACAGATTCCGTGCTGAAGTTCGTCCTTGCTGTGCTTGGTAAACGTGAAAGAAGTGGAATCTTCACAATGAACTGGCTCATGTTTATATGATTCCAGATATCCTTCAACTTCTACGAAGAGATCTGAGCAGACCATTTTCTAGAATATGCGAGTGTCGGATAGAATGATGCGCCAACGTTTGAGGAGATCTTCGTCACGTCGATAGTCAGGTTCATTGCAGTATGAGGTCCTCAGCTTCATATTGCTTCAATGTATGATGAATGGTTTTCTACTTCGGATTTAGCACAGTTCATTGATCGATCGTTCTATGATTTCAATACAGAGCGGCGATCACGAGGTTCTCTTGATGTCTTACCGGGGCCTTGTTATAGATCTGGGGATGCCTCGTATAATGGATGTAGACCACTCCAGAAAAGTACGTCATGATTCCTGCCGGGGGCAAGGATAGGGAATCGTCTTTCACGTCACGTGGCTTCCCCCATCTGGGGATTTGGTTCGAATTATTGAAGTGGTCCATACGTAAGAATGAAGATTTTTGTTTTAATGTTTAATCTAATTTTATCAATCAATCGAAAGAGTCCGTCAGGCTTTCATCCATTGCGTCCACTGATGGCTCCCTTAAGACTCTGGGCCGTGTCCCAGTGTGGCTGATCATCCTCTCAGACCATTGACACACCAACAAAAACTAAATCTTTGTCCCGGCCTAGCTCTGTGAGTTGAGATGTGTTCTTTTTCGTGTATTATTTACTAGTTTCACCGATGATTCCACCAATAGGACTGTCATTGCAAGAAGATAATCTTTGAATAATGAGTGTAATTGGCGAGTTGTGTAAAGACCTCGGCTCTCTTGACGTCAGAGCTGATGGTCAGTTCCAATTCGCAATACTTTAAACGTTGATGACGGCCCAGAATGTTTCGCCCTCCTCGGAAATGGTAGTGAAAGGATATTTATAGTACCTTGACATCGATGGAGTGTGGAGCTCAAAGACAAATCCATACCACTTCATCAGAGCAAGGAAACTTAAGTAGCAGGCAGTAAGCTTTTATCTGGATTCTGACACTGCTGGATTATAGTTTCGTTCCATCAATTCGAGTTTCTGATCAGTCTCGTCAAAATGAATTAGTCTGTTTTATCCTCTGCCAGTTGTAAGTGACAATGTTTGATCTTTACAAGATATAGATTTCAATTGGTTCCGGATGTAAATTACACTCTGATGATTGTCGCTATGAGAAAGTAAGTGTTGAACAAGCTAAGGTATTCAGAGAATTCACTGTGAGGAAGTAATAACGTCAAGATGCTGACTGAGAGACGAGACATATATAGTGGAAAACCAGTAGGTTCTCGATACCTACGTCTATGCTAGTACTTATACGAAGAGTCACGAGCTACACAAAGAAGCTTCCTATTAAGTCTAAGTATAGTACTGAACCGAAGCAGAGAGTAAATCCTCGAACAGCCACTCTTACTCGAATGCTAAGTTTGTCCATTTACACAAAGAAGCTTCCTATTAAGTTTAACTATAGTACTGAACTGAAGCAGAGAGTAAACCCTCAAACAGCCCCTGTTACTCGAATGATAAGTTTGTCCATCAAGAACAACGAAGAAATGTATAATCAAATACCTCTGACGGAATTCTGAAGTTTAATCGATCTCTCTCCGTCTCCATCTTGTTTCTTCCTAATGCTTTTGTAAGAATGCGAGCAGACGCTCTGCAGTAGAGATATACTCAACATGTATATCCCCGCTCCAACCTTTCGGCGGGAGAAGTGCCAATCAACCTTGTTCTATATGGTTATTCGCAAGTTTTATGGCGCATTGATTGTCCAGGCCAATTGGAATAGGAGTACTAGAAGAGCATATGATATTTTCCATTAGTATCCGAGTCTAAGTAACTTCAATCGCACGAAGACTAAGAGCTTGATACTTAGACTTGCAGTTGGGTCGAGCTGTTGAACTTTGTTTTTTGCATAATAGTAACTTTCTAGTTTTGTTTCCTTGCCATTGACGTAGAAAATGCCAAAAGAAGGGTAGAAAATGCCAAGAGAAGGGTAAAGATCAATGTAGCGGAGGATACTCTTGACGACGTTTACATGGATCTCTTGGAGGCTTGTGCATTTACTGACTGGCCAGATTCGTGGCCTAGGCAATGTCGGATCTTGTGTATGTGAGATACAACATTTTGCCTACAAGCCGCTTGTATAAGGTGGAATTGATCCAAGGGATGCTGGTGTTGGGCAAAGCTAGAGGCCTTCATTAAGTGGAATGAAGGTTAGCAGCATTGTAGGAGAACTCAGCTAATATGGACAATCTATACAAAGCTTCATGCAGTACTAATCCTCCGAGAGTGTGTACAAAATGAAAATCTAAATACTTTAAGATTATACCTAGATCAGTCATGGCAAACTACTTCATGAGTGTGACAAGATCATGATAAAATTGTGAATGATTCTTGTGAGATAGAGTTCGTGATAAAACTCCATGGTTTTGGAATGCAACATCAATGAGATGAGACAATGCTTGTGGACTCAGATGTATACCATAAAGAATTTGCTTTAACTTGCAAACTTCGTGCTGGCTTCCTGGAGAGATGAAACGAAGAGGTTATTGCATGTAGACTTCCTCTTGGAGAACCCCGTTGAGGAAAACGGCTTGAATATCAAGATGAACTGCATGCATTGCACGGGGAATATAAAGAAGTAAACCATTGTCACAGAAATAAAAAGCTAGAATAGTATTTGCATGTATGTACCAATATTGATGGGCAAGAAATGCAGAGATAATGTTGATAGTTTTCCCGCATACAACAAGACCAAAAGTATCACAGTAATCAATGCCGTGTTGTTAAAATTCCCATGTGACTAGTCTTGACTTGTGTTGAGTTGGTTGATCGGGTGAACTAGACTTGACCTTATCAATCCAACGAGTATTGATTCCACGCTCGGAAGAGTCATGAGTTTCCAGGTGTCATTGT